AAGAGAGAGAACCCAAATACACAAAATCAGAAATGAAAGAGGAGAAGTAACAACCAACACCACGGAAATACAAAAGATCGTTAACAACTACTACGAACAACTATATGGCAACAATTTCGACAATCTAAGCGAAATGGACAAATTTCTAGAAACACACAGTCTCCCAAAACTATTCCGGGAAGAGATAGAAAACTTGAACAGACCAATAACAACTAAGGAAATTGAAGAGGTAATCAAGACTCTCCCAGCAAACAAAAGCCCAGGCCCAGATGGCTTCACGGGGGAGTTTTACTGAACATTCAAAAAAGAACTAACACCCATTCTCCACAAACTCTTTCAAAAAATTCAAGAAGAAGGAAGACTTCCAAACACTTTCTATGAAGCCAGCATAATTCTAATTCCAAAACCAGAAAAAGACACTACAAAGAAAGAAAACTACAGGCCAATATCCCTGATGAACATAGACGCCAAAATCCTGAACAAAATATTAGCAAATCGGATCCAGAAATACATCAAAAAAACTATTCACCATGACCAAGTGGGATTCATTCCAGGGATGCAAGGCTGGTACAATATTCGCAAATCAATAAACGTGATACACCACATAAACAAAATGAAGAATAAAAACCACATGATCATATCAATAGATGCTGAAAAGGCATTCAACAAAATCCAGCATCCATTTCTGATAAAAACACTCAGCAATGTAGGAATAGAGGGATCATATCTCGACATAATAAAGGCCATATATGAAAGACCTACAGCCAACATCATACTCAATGGACAGAAACTAAAAACATTTCCATTAAGAACAGGAACAAGACAGGGATGTCCACTTTCACCACTCTTATTTAACATTGTACTGGAAGTCTTAGCCACAGCAATCAGACATGAAGAAAAAATAAAAGGGATCCAAATTGGAAAGGAGGAAGTGAAACTGTCATTATTTGCAGATGACATGATATTGTACATAGAAAACCCTAAAGACTCCATCAAAAATCTATTAGACTTAATAAATGAATTTGGCAAAGTAGCAGGATACAAAATTAACGTCAAGAAATCGACGGCATTCTTGTACACCAATGATGAACTCACAGAAAGAGAAACTGAAAAAACAATCCCATTTATCATCGTGCCAAAAAAATTACGATACCTAGGAATAAACTTAACCAAAGAAGTAAAGGACCTATTTGCAGAAAACTACAGGTCATTGAAAAAGGAAATAGAGGAAGATATAAAAAAGTGGAAGCACATACCCTGTTCATGGATTGGAAGAATTAACATCATTAAAATGTCCATACTACCCAAAGCAATCTATAGATTCAATGCAATCCCCATCAAAATACCAACGACATATTTCATAGAACTAGAACAAATACTTCAAAAGTTCATATGGAACCAAAAAAGACCCCGAATAGCCACAGCAATCTTGAAAAAGAAGAACAAAGTAGGTGGGATCACAATACCAGATATCAGGTTATACTACAAAGTGACTGTAACCAAAACAGCCTGGTACTGGCACAAGAACAGGCAGATAGACCAGTGGAACAGAACTGAAAACCCAGAAAAGGACCCAAGGCAATACGCTCAATTAATATTTGACAAAGGTAGCACGAGCATACAGTGGAGTAAAGACAGCCTCTTTAATAAATGGTGTTGGGAAAATTGGTCAGCTACATGCAAAAAAATGAAACTAGACCATCAACTTACACCATACACAAAAATAAACTCGAAATGGATAAAAGACTTAAATGTGACCCCTGAATCCATAAAAATTCTAGAAGAAAATGTAGGCATCAAAATTTCGGACATCATACGGAGCAGAATTTTCACTGATACATCACCTCAGGCAACAGAAATAAAGGAGAAAATGAACACATGGGACTACATCAAACTAAAAAGCTTCTGCACAGCAAAAGACACAATCATCAAAATGGAAAGGCAACCCACTGTATGGGAGAACATCATTGCCAATGATGTATCAGATAAGGGGTTAATCTCCAATATATATAGAGTGCTTATACAACTGCACAAAAGGAAGACAAAGAACCCAATTAAAAAATGGGCAGAGGAGCTGAATAGACACCTCTCCAAACAGGACATACAAATGGCCAAAAGACATATGAAGAAATGCTCAACATCACTAATCATCAGAGAGATGCAAATTAAAACAACAATGAGGTATCACCTCACACCTGTCAGAATGGCCGCCATCAACAAATCATCAAACAACAAGTGTTGGCGAGGATGTGGAGAAAAGGGAACTCTAATACACTGCTGGTGGGGATGCAGACTGGTGCAGCGGCTATGGAAAACAATATGGTGCTACCTCAAAAAATTAAAAATTGCACTTCCATTTGACCCAGTGATCCCACTGCTGGGAATATACCCTAAGAAGCCTGAAACACCAATCAGGAAGAATATATGTACCCCAATGTTCATAGCAGCACTATTTACAATAGCTAAGATCTGGAAACAGCCCAAGTGTCCACCAGTAGACGAATGGATAAAAAAGCTGTGGTACATATACACAATGGAGTACTATGCAGCGGTAAGAAAGAAAGATCTCTTATCCTTTGAGACGACATGGAGGGACCTGGAAAGTATCATCCTAAGTGAAAGAAGCCAAGCAGAAAAAGACAAATACCACATGATCTCACTTATATACGGAATATAATGAACATAACAGTCTGAGGAATACAGTAGACCCAGACACATGGAAGTAGGGCACAGACTGACATCCCTCAGAAGAGGGGATGGGGGTGTGGAGGGGTGGGAAGAGATAAACCACAGAACTTATATGCATGTATGCATGACCAATGGACATGGACAACTAAGCTGGGGACGGGGTGGGGTTGGGGTGGGGTGGGGGGTGCCAATGGGGTAAAAAGGTAAAATATCTGTAACAAAAAAAATAAATAAATAAAAAGAAAAAAGAAAAGAAAAGAAAAGAAAAATCTTGCTTTTGAGCTTTTTCTGCAATAGACTTTTTCTGGCATTGGACAGGACCTCATCTTAAACAAGGATAGGCCAGCAATATTGGTTTGGAGCAAACATGGTAGAACAGTACATTGGCTGGTCCTCACCTTTTAAGAACTAAGGACCTTTTTGGGGTTCCTTTATAGAACCCCAATCTACAAAAATGGTACCAAGGAGGACACTGTTTAACTGTCACAAGGCCTCATGAGCATTCTTCCTAGGACCCGTAGCATTTTGCATTAGGTGCATGAAAAATAATGCCAGTCTCACTCCTTTTGCCTAATGGAAAAAAAAGTTAACTTTTCTTTTTTGCAAGTTTATTGTTACATAATATAGAAAAAAAAGTCTGAAGTACTTCTACAACTCATTAAATGTCTTTAACATTTATGTTGCATGCTTTTATATAGGAAAGGGATTTTTCCAAGGATGCAAAAAATCAACAGGCCATAAATAGTTAACAACCACAAGAAGTCAGTAATAAATATGGTGTCCTCAAAATGGACATGGCCAACATTTCAGTCCTTCAGTTCCTTCTTAGGCCAATATCCTTAGATACCAACTTGTGAAACTCATTTCCACAAAACAGAGCCAGCGCCCATTTTCTGGGATTTAGCTAGAATTTTGGAGTCAGAGTTTAATCCCAGCTATCACAAAGTAGAACCATCGGGGGGAATACACCTCGCCTCTGGTTTCCTCTGAAAAAGTAAGAATTAGATAAGGCAGTTATACATGTAGAAATTAAATAAATTGAACTCACTTATATTAGAAGGTCAGACTTAAGCCTGGTGTTGAGGAAGAAAGTTCATCCATTCACTCTCTGCACAAGTATTTCTTGAGCACCTACTCTTTGTTGTAACCCAGGAGAATCAACCTCATTCAGACACAAAGTAATTTTGAATATTAGGAGCTTTATTAGCTGCGCAGGGACTGCAGCCAACCTACACAGAGGAGAACTACAGCGCCGAGCTCAGGGGGTGGGTTGCTTATATAGGACAGGGGTCATTCAAGAGTTTAGCAGAGCAAGCAAGCTGCGTGTACAGAAGCAGAGGCAGTTAACCATAAACAGGAGGGAACGGAGGTGGGAGGGAGCTGAGGCTAAAGGGAACTGGGGGAACTGGGTCAGCACATATCTATCCTGCTATTCATTCTATTATCTAAGTTCTAAAAACTAACAAATTCACTCAGAGGACACATTCATTTAGAGGAGTATCAGGCCAGCTGGTACTTCCTCAGGTTGCCTCCGAAAGCTTCATAGTTGGCCTTTTGTTTATTTAATCGGGACAAAGTGATAGGAGCAGGTTATTACACTCTTGCCAGGTACTGTACTAGGTTCAGGGGATACAATATTGGGCAAAACAGACATGACCCATACCCTTATAGCTTACAGTACAGATGGAGAGACATGCATTCATTACATCACCCCAACATCTTAAATACAACTGTGAAAACAACTGTACAGGGAAAGAACACAGAACTATGGGACCTGACTGACGTGTGGGTGAGGGGAGCCTTTCCTGAGGAAAGATGACAGGTGGCCAGCCAAGAGTGGGGTGAGAGGAGGCTGGGGAGGCCTGGTGGGTGGCATAAGGGGACCAAAGGCCCATGTGACCAGGAGAACTGTATCTAGAGAGGCAGGCAGGACCAGTTTTGGAAGCTCCTTGAAGACTTGAGGATCTTAGTTTTTATTCTAAGAGCAGCAGAACATCAGGAAAGAGCGAAGCTATCAAATATGCAGTTATAAAGATGATGCTGGCTGCTTGGGGGCTGTTGCTGTTTGTTTAGGCAGGGGAGCTCGGAGACTTAGTGTGGATGAGGCAGAAGAGAAAGAGAGAGACGGATACCTTTGAGAGAGACTGAGGCTGGGAGGATGGGAGGTGGAGAGTGAGGCAAAGGAGGTTTTCATGGATAACTCCTCTGTCTCTAGCTATGCTGGATGGCTGGAACCTAAGGCAAGGCTTCTGGGAGGCTTTGGAACAAGCCGAAACTTACTCCTCTCTCCCCTCTTACCTTTACTTTTGCAGGCACCACATGCTCTACTCCAACATCTATTGAACATGCAAACATTCAGGTCAAGAGTTACGAGGCGAATTCCAGGGAACGGTATATTTGTAACTCTGGTTTCAAGCGTAAAGCTGGTACGTCCAGTCTGACTAAGTGCCTGCATAACGAAGACACAAACGTTACCCAGTGGACAATTCCCAGTCTCAAGTGCATCAGTAAGTAGCTGTCCCTGCACTGCCCCTGCCAAGGACCCACAGACAGCAGTGCTGTGATGTGGGTCACTCAATGAGCCTGTCTGAGGGGCCAAGAGATTTGTGTTGAGGTCTGAGGCGAAATAAATCAACAGGCCTCTAAACAGCATCTCCCAGAGGTGGAAATACATGGGCTTTGGAGTGGGGACGGGGGGGGGGGAGGGCAGGTCATACAATTCTAGGTTCAAATCTTGGCTCTTCCCCTTACCTAACCCTATGAGACCTTGGGCAAGGGCTTTCACATCTCAGAACTCTAGGTTTGTCATCTCGGAAATGGACCTGGTATCAACCTTATGGCTTGTAGGAGGATTCAGTGAAACCTGGTAAATATTAACCATTATTACCATCAATGCTTTAAGATTATGGTAGCAAGAATGTGGCTACAGACAGGGATACGTGCTCAAGCATGCTTGCTTCTCAGAGAGCTTTTCCGATTTCTCCCTAGAAGAGAGCCTGTGGGGAAATTACTGCCATTCTTCTCCATTGGTATCCACCCCGGGAGACTGGGGAGACACACGGGGCACAGATTCCCTAACTCGGTCAGCCAAGGTCCAATCAGTGCTCCAGAGCAAGCGTGAGGTGTGAGAGAAAGTTGGTGGAAGCCGATGGTGCCACTTCCAAAACTACCAATCCCCTCACTCTAGAAAAATAAAGATTAACCCACAGTCTCCTATGAGAATTCTAATTTACCATTTATTGTTTACTTGGTGCATATCCAGCAGCGAGCGAAATACTTTCTCATATAACATTTGTGAAAATTCCCAACTTCTCTATGGGGGAAGTGGAGGGGAAAGCGGTGAGGGGAGGTTATTCTGTAGCAAACTCACTCTGTTGTAGAAAGCCAGACTTTGGAAAGCCAGACTCCTTGGAAAGCCAGACTTTCTCATTGAATTTGTAGTGTTTAGATCACCTGGAGCCTCCTACTCTTCCCCCTCCCTTTGCGTGACTGTCATGCATATGTCAGAGGCAGGGCAAGGAGGAAGCCTTCTACTTGGTACACAGGACTGATGGCCCTTCCCCTGGACTATCTGTTCAAGGATGCTTATATATACAGCCTTGGAAGATGGAAACAGCGCCTCTCTCTGGAGAAAAGGCAGACATGGTCGTGCCATAAATAAGACTCAGGTTCTTTCCCTGAGCTCAGGCTTCCTCTGCTGTGATGTAGCCCACTGGATGTATCTGTTCAGGCCATGTTGCCCCTGTGGGGCTTGGGGATGAGGGAATTGATGCAGACATGCTGATGCTCCTGCTGCCTGCTGTGTTTGCAGCCTGTGTTTGCATTTGCCTGAGAACTGCAAGTTGAGAAACATTGTAGTTTATTTCTTGGGCTTCTGTTCTATCCTAGGAAGCCAGATGTATCCGTTTTAAATTTGTATATTTATTTTTTATTTGTATCCTGTTCTGAAGCCACCCCCAGGTTCTACCCTCAGGATCATAAATGCCATGTGGTTGTCCTCTCTCTAGGAGACCCCTCCCTGACTCACCAAAGGCCACCCTCCACAGTAGCGCCGGCAGGGGTGACCCCAGAGCCAGAGAGCCCCTCCCCTTCTGAAAAAGGTAGGAACGTTGGAAACTTTAAGGACTTCCATTCCCTGCTAACACGCAGGTTCCCACAAGTCCCTCAGATTCATGGACCCCTGCTGGAGTTCCACTACAAACCTATGTAAACAGAACAACATTTTCTAAAAATCAAGAACAAAAATTTACTTCAGCTTAACTTTATGTTTTAAATCAAAGGGGCTTGATAGCCAGGTTTATATGTGCATGACTAATAATGGTTTGAAATCCACTCTTCCTATGTTAGATCAAAGTTCATTGTAGAGTGCTATCCTCATCCAAACCGGAGAGGGTCTGAGGTTCTGCCTGCCGTGGTCGCAGGGGGACTGGCAGGAAGCACAACACTCCTGGGGCAGAGACTTGTTGTGGCCATCACTTTCTAGAGCACATGAATGTTGAGTCACTATGTTGTACACCTGAAACTAATATAATACTGTATGTCAATGATAAATAAATTTTTTAAAAAGCAACGACAAACAACAGTGCATGAGTTCTGATTCTAGAAGGAGCTCTGTAAGTGTTAATAAAAAAAAGAAGTGACTTTCAGAAACATGAGAGACCCATGCAGAATTGTCTCCCAACAATTCTCAACGTCAGCAAATTAACGATGATGGCTCTGGTGTAGATCACTGCACAGAGCTGCCAATGTTCCATACTTCCAGAGCCTTAGGCAATCAGCTATCCCAATGTCCTCCGCACTGTCCCAGTGTTAAGAGAATTCACAATCTTGGGTGCTAAATATTGCAGGACAATGTGCCCGTGTCCTATGATACCCTTACTTCACACTTAACTCTTGATTTTTTGTGTCCCATTATCTAGTTTGTGGCTTTTCCTGGCCCTTATTTTTTCCCCTCCAGGCAGAGTCATCCTGTTATGCTGGACACTCCTGTGGAGCACTGGTTCCTCACCTTGGCTGTCCACTGAGATCACCTTGGAACCCTGGAGAGCTGTCTGGGAATCAGCATTCCAGAAGCTCTCCAAGTGATTCTGGGGTAGCCAAGGCTGAGAACCTTGCCATTTATTTTTTGTTTGTTTGTTTGTTTTTGTTTTTTTAATCCTCATCCGAGGACATTTTTCCATTTTTTGTACAGACAGAGTGGGAGGGAGAGAGAGGAAGAGAGAGAGAGGGAAACATCGATGTGAAAGGGACACATCGAGTGGCTGCCACCCGCACGACCAACCAGGGCCGGGGACAAACTGCAACCGAGGTACATGCCCTTAGCAGGAACCGAACCCAGGCCTCTCCGGACCGCAGGCGGACGCTCTAACCGCTGAGCCAAACCGGCCAGGGCGAGAACCTTGCCATTTAGTTGGCTACAAATAGAAGGAAGAGGTTGAGGTACTCGCTATATTTAACTTTGGAGTAATTCTAAAGCTCCTTTTATCTGAGTCACATCTGGTTCACCCAATTGACGAGAATGATCAAGTGGCCTTTCCCAGTCCTGCCTTCCTGTGCCAAACACTTGATGAAACTGCACAGTTGAAATCTCAGACGTGAGAGTGTCATCTTTGACGCAGGGAGACGTGGCCATGGGCACGTGGATGGGAATGCTCTAGGACAGTGGTTCTCAACCTTCCTAATGCCGCGACCCTTTAATACAGCTCCTCATGTTGTATGTGGCGTATCTGCCCGTGGGCGGACCCGCCTGGAGACGGATAGAGGAGCGGTGTCTCGGTTCTTAGGCGACCCCTGTGAAAGGGTCGTTCGACCCCCAAAGAGGTTGCGACCCACAGGTTGAGAACCGCTGCTCTGGGGGAACTCTATCTGCAAAGTACCTGGACTGCTGGCAGCTTGGATAGTATGAGGTAGTGACAAAGGATTAAAGGGCATGAGGACTTCTCACAGCATCTGTGGCTGCGAGCGCATGGGAAAGCGGCCCAAATAGCATGGACTGTTGGCCAAAGATGCTGAGATTGGGGCAAAGACAGGACATTCTTCAAATACAACTCTAGTTCTGATGGGCTGATTCTCAGGATTCCCTTATTTAGAAGTTTTGTTAAAACAATTATAAAACAAACTAAAATCAGCATCCCAGATGTCTCATCTTTGGCAAACATGGTTCCACTCGATTTTTTGAGGTCAGTCTTCTGTAGTAAACAAGCCTAGATCTACTCTAATCTTTGGGATCTTTAACCTAGGTGCACCATGATAAGTCACTGTAAATCCTCTAGTATTCTCAAGTCTCGTGGCCACCCCAGAGGGATAACTATGTGTTATGCATTTAAGGGATTTTCACCAAGAGCTGTGGAGCAATATGCTGCAGGGGGGGGGCTGGCCCAAGGGGGGCTCGTTGTAGTGGGTATTAAGTCTACTCTCTTCTGCAGCTGAGAAAGTGACTATCCTAAACATTTATGTTCTCCGTGTGTTGCACCTTCCTACAGAACCAGCTTTCACTTCCAAGTCAGACACCACAGTGCCCACAGAGCCAGCTGTTGTACCAGGCTCCAGGCTGATGCCATCAAAACCTCCTTCTCCAGGAACCACAGGGGTAGTCAGGAATGAGCATCCCCAAGCCCCATCTCAGACAACAGCAAAGGCCTTGGAACATTCTCCCTCCACCTCGCTCGAGAAGCCAGGTTAGCGCTGGCTTTGCATACTTTAGGAGAGGTCAGCTCTCTGCCTGCATGGCATTATACCATCCAAAGTCAGGACGACTTAGCAGCCCTCTGTCACCTGCTCTCTGCCACAGCCTTCTTGCTCTGGTCTCTATTTTTTGTGCTGTACCCTGGCTCAACCCAGGTGAAAAAGAAAGTGCATTTCCCATAGGTGACAAGGTTCACCGTATCAACCTGCTTTACCAAGAATCTGAATAATAACTGCTTCCTCCCAGTATGAGAGGATGGAGGAAGCTTTCCACCATTTGGAGTCACGGTCCATGGGATGGAGGAGCTCTCGGTAATCTGTATCTTCTGTACGAGCATATCTGATCCTAAAAGCATGGCCCAGCATCTAAATGAATTACTTGCTTTGTTCTTTGCTCAAATGAGTTTGGTTTTGCCAGCTGTGAATCTCTCAAGGCTTTCAGATGGGAACCAAATTCTCCAGAATTTCTCTTGTTTAATGAGAATAGTGCCTTTAGAACTACAGTCATAATTGAGCTGCTCTCTCTTCTCTGCAGGTACACATTCATACAATTCCACAGTTGCCACTGGTAAGTATTTTCCTTTGTCCTGGCAGTGGTGATGCTCAGGGACCTCGGTCCCAGAGAGCTGAACAGTTCTGGTTTGTGCTTGCTGTCCCAGCATGATAACTAACAGCATCCCCTTTCCCCCCTCAAAAGTGTCTCAGTGTAGAAAGGAAGTTGCACGATCACCCTATTTATGGAATTCTCTATTTGACATCACTCTTTTTATATTGGTACCTTCTCACTGTAAGACTCCTGATATGGAAATCAGAGAGTAGACACATCACAAGAAGGGTCTATTCAGCAATTCAGTTCTACTAAGCAGGGCTGGACGTCTGTCCAGGACTGATTATTAAACCACGAGTGAGTGCTGACGTCATGGAGATGACGATGTTCTGCTGCTACATGGGCTGCGCTACTCTCCCAGGGTCAGTACCATGCACGTTCCACCTGTTCAAACATCTCAGTCTAGGAGCCTGTTTACAGAAGATGCACACACCACCAAGGCTAGGAGAGAGAGAATGTCCCAGTAGGTGTAAGGAGGAAACTGGAAAAGTGTTAGCGAGAATGAAAGGAGGAGAGGAATCTCAGAGAACAGAGGAGAGAAAAAGAGAGAAAGAAGAGAAACAGAAGCAGGGAGAGAGAAATGCAAGTAGTAAGAAAGAATCTAATACTTTTGGCTGATAGGTTTCCAATGAAAACCACTCTAATGTCATATGGGCAAATATGATTTCTACTTTCGATTTACAAGTTTTCCTGGTAGAGAAGGAGTCATAGTTTTGTGGTTACCTTTTATCAGCATTAGTGTCATCTGGAAAAAAAAAAAAAAGTGGCTTAGGTCATTTCATCAGTTAGTTGATTAGAATGGTTTTTTAAAAATCAATCATATATGTGCAGGCAAGACATTTTAGAAAGGCTCTTTGGAGAGTATTTTCATGGAGAAACTATAGCATTTAATGACAAGGACATGGAAACAAAAATGTTTATCATCTAAGAGGAGACCAGTAAATAAAGAAGACAACCTAATTTTTCTTTTTATGTCACATACTACATTAATCTTTCTACAAAGTTTTAAAATTTTTATTCATTTTTTGAATTGGTCATATTTGCACACGGCTTAAAAATTTAAAAAATTACAAAAGGATCGATAGTAAAAAGTAAGCCCTGTCTCCGACTGAAAATCCCCTTGTGGGAAGGAAGCAACTCCTACCAGATTTTTGTGTACCCTTTCAGAGAAAGTCAGTATATAGAGGATACATGATGCCAGTCAGTTAGGTATTTTATTTTCACTGTTCTGCACCTTGTTTGTTTTCACTTAATGGCACACCTTGGAGATCCTTCCACAGCAATACATAAAACCATATCATTCTTTTTAACAGCTTTAAAATATCCCAGTCTATGGATTTGCCACAATTTCTTTAGCCAACCCCCTGTTTGGACATGTGATTGCTTACATTCTTTGGTTATATTACAAACAATGATTAATTGGAAACCTTATATTGTTTTGAATATGTGCAAGTATATCTGTAGGATAAAATCCTATACATAAAACTATAGGGCCATATTTTCTATGTAGATTTTCAAACTATTTTATTATGGGCTATAATCTATATTTTTTATAATGTATGTCTTTCACTGGATTAAAATGTCAGAAACTTGCCCTGGCCTGTGGCTCAGTGGTTAGAGCATCAGCCTGAGAACAAAGGGTTGCAGGTTCAATTTCCAGTCAAGGGCACAGGCAACCAATCAATGTATCTCTCTCACATTGATCTCTCTCTCTCTCTCTCTCTCTCTCTCTCTCCCTCTCTCTCTCCCTCTCTCTCTCCCTCTCTCTCTCCTTCCTCTCTACTAAAAATCAATGGAAAAATATCCTCAGGTGAGGATTAGCAAAAATAATAATAATAAAATATCAGAAACTCACTCCCAAATTCTGAAATGTAACATAATAAACATTAACTAAATATGTACAATAGACAAAAATAGCTATGTGCAAGGAACTGTAAAAATACAGAATTTAAAAGAAAAGGAAAGAAAACAGCTTTAAACCTTTCATATTGTAGGAATAAGACTTTCTTCTTTCAAGTGGCTCAGTTGGTTGGACATCGTTCTGTGCACCCAGAGGTCACTGGTTTGATTCCTGGTCAGGGCACATGCCTGGGTTGTGACTCGATCCCCAGTAGGGGGCATGCTGGAGGCAGCTGATCAATGTTTCTCTCTCATCAATGTCTCTCTCTCTCCCTGGTGGGTGTTGCTATTTTCACATGAATTGAGCTCATCTTTGTAAGAAAATATAAATGATGTTTATACTATAATGGTTACTCAATAAATGTTAACTTAATGTTTTAATCAGCTCATTGATACTACCAATACCATAATTTGTTTCTTTTAAATAAGGTTATAAAAGAAATCACAACTTTTGAAGTTGCCTTTTTTAGTTCAACAGAAATAATGAAAGATAAATATTGAATGAATGAGCAAATGGGTAAGTAAATTTGAGGGCTTTAACATTTAAATAAATATTCAGGAAGTGTGGCTCATCATTTCATTGACAGCCCTTTTTATCAATAACTTGATGCAGTTATTCCAATATCTGATCCTGACTAAGCTATTCTTGAAGAGTTTCAATTGTAATATAAAATGTCAAAATGTCACGTAGGACAGTGTTTACATGGCCATATTCATTTAGTACACTTGGAGTGAGGAGTTCATTTTTTGTCACATCTGACATAAGTTTGCTGCAGTCAATCCGTTCGGCCTTTGACAGGAACTCTCGCTATAACATTCATCTGTTCAATCAATAGAAACGGAGATCCTACTTTGTGCCAGATATAGTCCTAAACTACAGCGAAATTCAGATTTCTCATTAAAAAGCAAATGGCACTTTAAATGTACATACTTCAATTAATGGAATGTTAATGGTTTGATTCAATCAATTAAGTATTGATTATCTGAACCCAACTCTTAGAATGTGCTTAATACAGTAAGAGATGGAAAAGAAAAAGAAAAACAAAACAAAACAAACTAGGAAAACTGCCCAGGCATAATGAATTGACATTCTTACTTCAAAATTGCCCTCATCAACTGCAGACACACAAGGACTCTGGGCACAGCAACAGCAGAAATAAGTACTTCTCCCTGGCTAGCCTAGTCTTCAGGTCCTGCTAAGGAATAGTGATTCCTGTATGTTCACAGAGGACATTTCATCATCCACATCCAACAGTGGCCACTGGCTGCCTAGGCCACCTTCTCCCCCTCAGACCCAACATACACTGGAGGTTGAACCCTAGGCAGGCAGCCACTGGCCTTTCTGGCCTCCTGTGCAATAATCCACTTTTTCTACCCCCTCTCCCAGACTCTAATCCTCCTCTATCTCACCAAATCTCTTTCACCTTCTTTTTCTTTAATTCATGCCTCCCAAGGAAACACAAAAGGGTGGAGAACTTTGGCGGCTGATATAGTCCATTGTCTTAGTGATTCTGGTTTCAATTTCTTTACTAAACTTGTCTGGATATAACAGAGGAAGAGGTCAGGGGTTTGAGTTTAAGTCACTGAGTTCAAATTGCTTTGTTTATATCATTGGCTCAGGAGCCCTCTTCTCACTTGAGTTTGAGTCTGCAGCTTTTATTCTCAAAAATAAACAGGAAGAAGCATTGCGAAATCCAACTATTATTTTTATCAACTTGCCTTTTCCAATAAATCTCTTCATGAACAGTAAATGCATACCAAGCTGATTAGTCAGTGTGAAGAAATAGTTTATCATAGGCTACAGTATCTCTGCTAATAAAGATTTCTGATTTTTAGTCATACTGACGAGTAATGTTAAGTTTAAAAATTCAAAACATTTTTACTAATTGCCCATGTTTCCTGTTACTTCTTTTGGAAGTTTTCTATGCTTATTTCTCCTACAAGCAGTTTTGTTTTTACACTTTACTGTTTCTTACAACTTAGCTCTTTCTTCTGATTGCAGTTACACTGCAAAAATATCAGGAACATTTTTTAAAGAAAATAAAGATTATCTACAATCCCACCATTACTTAATACTTTGGTATATATTCAAGACTTTTCTGAGCATATGGACACACACATGGCTTACTGAAGGTTATTTTTTGGTTTCTTTTTATCTCAACCAGTTTTTAAAAAAAATTATTTATTTTTGTTACAGAGGTTTCTCCTCCTCCCGCCCCCCTGATTTCCCCTTCCTCCTCCCTCCCCGCCCTGTCCCCAGCTTTGTTGCCCATGTCCATTGTTCATGCACACATGCATATAAGTTCTGTCTCAACCAGCTTTTTTCACTTATGATATCATAGATATCTTTCCATGTTAATACAGATTCATTTCATAATTTTTTAAAGCTGAATAATATTCCATTGGATGGGTGTACCACATTTTAACTAATTTTCTACTGGTAAGAGATTTAGATTAGTATTTTAAAATTATTTTAAACACTATTTCAGTGAATATTCCTATATGTCCTTTCCCATTTCCTAAGAATAAACTCCTAGAACTAGAACTGGAGAGTTACAGGTTATGGTCTTCTCTAAAGCTTTTATGGTGCCAATTACCCCTGAGAAAACCCTGCTCTTCGACAGGTCTACAAAGCAGAAGTTCTGGGTATTCCCCCACATCCATATATTTAGCTGTTTTTCAATAGGGTTGTATTTTGAAGGCCAAGCCATGGGAATTTTCTCTTGCTTACGAGGTTGAGTTGGCTGTACCGGCACAGGCCCAAAGGAAACGTGGTCTCCAGACGTTCAGGGCTGTCATCTTGCACGCGGGGCAGCTAGATGCCTTCCGTGGGGAGATTTCATAATATGGAGGCAAGCTGGCCAACTCTGCTTGGAGTTTAGTATTGACACAGGGTTTTAAAAAAGTTATGTTCACCCTGCCCTTGGGATAAGCCCGTTGCGTTCGCACCCAGACCCCGCTCTTCCTGTAATAAATCTCAGATGCTGTCGTGGCCGCTGGCCTTCCACCCTCCAGTCCTCCCGCCGCTCCACACTGTTCCTTTCAACCCAGTCAACATGCTTTTTTCCTTTTCCTAAGCATTACCTTATTCTCCTCTTATCGGTAAGACCTCTCTTATAACACCTCAGCTTTCTCCTTACCACCCTTCCTCTGTCATAAAAAGTAGCAAATCAGTAAATAATGATAATGAAATTGGAAGAAAAATGGCACTACAAGTGTCGGTTCTAAATTAGGATTAAAGGGGGAGTTGTGCCAGAGGACAACTGAGGAGGACCCTGGCCTCATGTGCTTTTCTTCAAAAATTTTTTTCTTTATTGATTTGAGAGAGAGAGAGGAAGGGAGAGGGAGAGAGAGAAACATCGATGAGAGAGAGCATTAATTGGCCGCCTCCTGCATGCCCCCCACGGGGGATTTGGCCCACAACCTGGGCATGTGCCCTGACCAGAAATCGAACCGGTGACCTCTTGGTGCATGGGTCGATGCTCAACCTGAGCCACACCAGCCAGGCTCATGTACTTTCTTGACTTTGGATTTAGCAGCAAGCATTTCTCCTCATGAAGTGCCGGCCTCATCCTCATCTGTCCACCCCCACTTCTGATCTCTGAGCCTCTCATTTTCCCCTCCTGACTTACTCCCATCCCTGCCCATCACCATGTCACTCTGCTCAGGAAGGAAAGAATTAGGAGCAGGGGACATGGGATAACACGAATGGGGACAATATGAACTGGCAGTGTTGGTGGGAAAGGAATGTACTTTTTGCCCAGATGTAGAATAGATTGAATTGTATGAAACCTTAAGAAATGTTAATAACAGTAAGCTGGTTGGTAAGGCGTTTGGATCTCTCTGAAAGCATGTAAGCTGTAAAGAATGTTCAGATTCTTAGAAATGAATCCTAGAGGGGGGATAAATGGTGATGGATGGAGGGTGGAATACACAGGACAGTGGATAGATGATGTGTTGTAGAATTGTGCACCTGAAACCTGTATAATTTTGTTAACCAGTGTCACCCCAATAAATTCAATAAAAAGGAAAAACAAAATGAAATGAATCTGCTGCTGGGACTTTTAGCATGATACCAGCTTAGTTCTCTTTTTTTGCAGTGGCAGCAATTTCCACCTCTGTGTCTGTGCTTTTTGGAGTATGTGTGGTATTTCTTCTGGTATGTTATTGCAAAAAGTCAAGGTGAGTGACACAGGAGAATCATACTGGACAAGAGTCTTCCTTTCCTCCAAGCAAACAGCTTCATTATTATGACTGCCTTCTCAAAGGAAGAATCACTTTCCTGGCTGGAGACATAGGCTCTCAGTCTCACCCCCTTCGATGTTGACCAAAAGGAGTGGCGGGCTCTGGCCGGGTAGCTCAGTTGGTTGGAGCATCATCTCGTACACCAAAAGGTTGCAGGTTCGATTCTGAGTCAGGGCACATATCCAGGTTGCAGGTTCAATCCCGGTAGGGGTGCACACAGGAGGCAACCCATTGATGTTTCTCTCTCTCAGATTTGTTGAAAATAAACTTTTAGTTACTTGTAGAAAAATTCTCTTTTCTAAATATCATATCAATATAAAGACTTTACTGCCCTTTGAGCCTAACTTTAGAAAAATGAACATTTCATGAAATGCGACTGTAAAGCCAAAATGAAAATGTCACCTAAAAATTTACATAAATCTTTAAAATCTGTTAACACCAACTCAACCAATAAGAAATGCCATAAAACTCATAAATAATTCAGAAATTAACAAACTAAGGTTGATATATTACTTAAAAACTTGTCAAAAAATCCAAACAGTCCCAGCCAGTGTGGCTCTGTGGTTAGTGTCGACCCAAGCACCAAAGGGTCCTGGGTTTGATTCCCAGTCAAAGGCACATGCCTGGGTTGCAGGTTCAATCCCCAGCCCCAGTTGGGACATGTGCACATGTGCAGGAGGCAACCAATTGATGTGTCTCTCTCACATCAATGTTTTCTCTCTCTCTCTCTCTCTCTCTCTCTCTCTCTCTCTCTCTCTCTCTCGTTCTCCCTCTGCCCCTCCATCCCTTCCTTCTACTCTCTCTTAAAAAAAAAATCAATAGAAAAAATAGCCTCAGGTGAGGATAACAACAACAAAAAATCCATTTAGGCAAAATGACTTTTTTTTTAATCCTCACCGGAGGATACTTTTTCAAATATCTTCAGATAGAGCGGGAGGGGGAGACAGAGAAAGAGAGAGAGAGAAACTTCAATGTGAGAGAAACACATCAACTGGCTGCCTCCCCACATGACCGACCTGGGCTGGGGACAAACCACAACCAAGGTACCTGCCCTTGACCAGAATCAAGCCCACGACTCTTTGGTCCATGGGCCGACGCTCTAAGCGCTGAGCCAAACCGGCCAGGGCTAGGCAAAATGACTTTTTAAAGGATTTTCAAAATATCACTATAATAATTTCCATATAAAATGCTGTATTTGGAGCTGTATTCTTAAGAGATTATAATGACTATATTCACTGACCATATTTAAAAAGGATACATAGCCTTTTTAAGAAATAATATATTAAAAATATATCCTTAAAAAGAATTTGGAAATGTGGTATATATGGCCAATAAATATGCTCATAAGAGGAATAGTCAATATTCACAGACTATGTTAAAGAAATATTCATAAATATATCTTTAAGAATTGGTAAACCTCCAAGGAACTGAAAGTGCTTATTTTATATACTTTATTTTTGTTAATCCTCACCTGAGGATATTTTACCATTGATTTTTAGATAGGGTAGAAGGGAGGGAGGAAGGGAGGAAAGGAGAGAGAGAAACATCAATGTGAGAGAGACACATCAATTTGTTGCCTCCCACACGACCCTGACTGGAGCTGGGGATCAAACCTGCACCCCAGGGTGTCAATGGGAGGAAAAGGAGAAACATCTTTAACAAAAATAAATTAATAAAAAAATTAAAAATAAAAAACAGAAACAGCCCTGGCCGGTTTGGCTCAGCGGCTGGAGCGTTGGCCTGCAGTCCGGAGAGACCCGGGTTCAGTTCCCGCTAAGGGCACATACTTCGGTTGCAGTTTGTCCCTGGCCCTGGTTGGTCGTGCGGGTGGCAGCCACTCGATGTGTCCCTTTCACGTCAATGTTTTTCTCTCTCTCTCTCTCTCTCTTCCTCTCCCTCCCACTCTATCTGTACAAAAATTGGAAAAATGTCCTCGGGTGAGGATAAAAAAAAAAATTAAAAAAAAAACAGAAACAAAAACAAAAACCCTGCACCCCAGGTATGTGCCCTTGACTGAGAATTGATCCCTTGACCTTTTGGTCCTTGGGCCTACGATCTAACCACTGAGCAAACTGGCTAGTGCAAAAGTGCTGATTTTAAAATGTCCTAAAAAGATACTTATCCTCAGGAGGTGGATTAAATAGTCCATGGAAGAAATGACTGATTCAGATGGTCATGGCCTCAAAAACACAGATGGAAACATGGAGTTAATGTGTTGTGCTTCCCCTCCTCTTGGTTACTCAGGAATTGATTAATGTATTTGTTTGTTTATTTAACACCAAGTGCCAAGAACTGTTTTAAAAGCTTTATTAATATTACATCACTTCGGTCAGGATTATCTCATCTGGTTTGGCTGAGTTCCTAGTTACTCTCTCCTTCTATTGTTCTCACCATTTAAACTACCACTTTTTAGCAGAGGGTTCCCAAGGTGGGTGGGAGTTGCTCCAACAGCATTGGTAAATCTTTGGTGGATAAGAGAGTTAAAAATACCAAAATAGGATTTAAATCGTATCTGTGAATGGAGTTTTCTCCATCTGAGTGTTCAATAGGAACTATCTGTTTATTAAATTTGAGGGCAATGCTCTCCTCCCTCTTTTCAAAACCTGTGAATTATCTGCTTTACAGGCAAACTTCCCGGACACCCAATGTTCCAATGGAAAACATGGAAGACATACCAATGACTGGGGCAACCAATGGCAGAGAGGAGGACACACAAAACTACCAAACAACCTAGGAAACGCCAGGAGAAAACCAAGGCCAGCAAGGGCTGGAGCAAAGGCACCAACTCTGCTCTGGCCAGAGGGGACTCTGAAAAGACTCTAGGAGTTGGGCACCAGGGAGAAGCTGCCAGGATGCTAAACTATCTTGGCATCACTTTATCGACCGTGGCCCCCCTAGGCACTGCCTGCATGGGTAGGTTCTCCAGGCTTAGGATGGACGCTCGATGCCTGCCCTGCCTCAGATACAGGGCCAGGTTCCCAAAGTTCCAGCCATTGAAGGCCTCAGGTCTTCCTGTCAGGACATTTACTTGGGATGACTTATCAGCCTGACTCTCTCTTCCGTCCCTCCTCCTGACTTGCAGTTTACAAAGAAAAGAAATATATCTGAGGCTCTAAGTGAATTGAGTAGGCTCCTCCTGTTTTAGGAGGTATCTATAAAGATGACATCAGCATTTCATCTCCCCAAACTCTCTCCAGTTAGGTGCTCTGCATGCATTGAATGGGAGCAAAGAGACAGTGTGCCCAATGGATTCTCCAGATTTAAAGGCTCAGAAAGAAAGCTGAACTCAGTGACATTTTATATATATATATATGTACATTTATATTTATACTTCCTTATCTATTATATCTACATGTTATATGACTTGCATTTTGAAATGGTACCTTGTATAAACAAAATAAAATGTCTATTTTCAATTAAAAAATGCAATAAAAGAATTACTGAGAAGAAATGTACACACAAAACAACAACAAAAATAAGAGGAGAAAAAGCAGGAAAGCCAAGTCCCAAATGGTCGAGCTCAGCTTTTTTAAATGGAGAAAAAAATCTTGCCTGAGGTGGATCATATCACAGTTTTAGAGAATGTCTAATGGGATTTCCATGTGAGAAGACACAGGTGGCAGGTTCTGGCCCAGGTACGCCTGGTGCACACATGCTCTTTCTTTCTTTGCTATTTGCAACATTTTTAAAATAAAATCATGGGCTTAATCTCACCTCCTCATTATATAGATGAGAAAATTGAGGCCCAGAGAAGTTAGCCTTACCCAAGGCTAAATGGCTCAATTAATGCCAGAGTTTGAACAGAATTGGGGTGGGGGGAGGGGAGTAGTAGGCCTGACTATAAGCCAGCTATCAGCTGCCCAGTCACACAGCCGAGTAGCCAGGTAGCCATCATAAGCATTTGGGAAGTGGGGCAAAGCAGCCAATTCATGCTCTACCAGAAGCTCTCAAAGTGCCCCTTCTTCTTAACTTCTTCATCACCAATTTAGATGGTTTCATCAAAAGCAAAGGAAGAATAGAAATTTAAATGGCTGGTGCTTGGAGTTTTAAAGCCACACCATTTCACTGTCGGCAAATACCTTTTTCAATGAGTAGAAAAACTCGGTGCTGACACATGAGCTAAGCCATTTTATTTGCTCTGGGCCTTAATTGCTTCATTATCTCGAACCTGCCTGATTTAAACTCTGAAGCTGCTTGACCCTAAGTTTCTAGGGCTGGATCCAGTTTGTTCTTTATAAGAAATTTTAAGAATTTGACTCATTATTTTAAAACTAATTTGAAAGAAAATACAACCTACATAAAAAATTGGGCAGATGTTCAATGGAACCAAATTTTGAAAGGTTTCTAGATCATAGGGCTAGTTCAAACCACATAGATTTGTGGTTTGAATTCATCATTTTCTTTGGAAAAGTGAGTGATATGATGACTTCTGGGGCCCATTTTGGAGCTTTGAAATCACTGGTTCAGGCTCATCACAGAAGAACCCCATGATCCATCAGTCACCAACCAAGTTCAAGCTGGGTACATTACATGACAAAAATTAGATCTAGACATGGAAGCCAGCAGGGTGGGGTGGAGGTGAGGTCTGAAAGGACCAGGGAGAGTGGGGTGGGGTGGATAAATAAATAAATAAATAAATAAACAAACAAATCTGGGATTTTTTTCCCCCCAAAGAACAAAGGGGTAAAATGAATTCTTTTATCAGATGCTATAGTTCTTCTAGGGAAATGTTAAAAACAAACAAACAAACAAACAAAAAACAAACAAACAAAAAAAAACCTCTACAGCCTGGCCAGTGTGGTTCAGGGGTTGAGCATCGACCCATGCACCAAGAGGTCACCGGTTCCATTCCCAGTCAGGGCACATGCCCAGGTTGAGGGCCAAATCCCCAGTGCGGGGCAGGCAGGGGGCGGCCAGTCGGTGTTCTCTCTCATCACGTTTCTGTCTCTCTCTCCCTCTCACTTCCTCTCTCTCTAAAATCAATAAAGAAAAAAAATTTTAAATCAAAAAAACCTCTACAATGCCAAAACATACTATGGCCCCAGAATTTATCCATCAGGCAGTGATGAACATGTCTAAAGTAAGAACTGTGTCTTCATCTTTGACTTCTGAGATGAATGCAGTGCCCTGAAGGTGGTTAATAGATGCTAGATCAATAAAGTAAAAGCTTCCTAACTGAAGTATGGCTAAAAGTTCTGAGACAGGGCAGCCCATTGTCAGGCAAAGCTACAAAGGAGGTGATGTTTGGGGCACTCAGCCACTTGTCTTTGTGCATCCCATCTCCCCATGCTTCGTTGACAGTTCCAAGCACTGCCTCAAATTCTACATACAACTGTCCCTTATTTTCACACAGTGTAGTAATTGACCAGGGGGTTTGGCTCCGAAGGCACAACAAGCCCCGGAAGTGAGGAGGGCTGCATGGGGAGCAATGAGCAATAACAACCTATGCTGGAGGGCAGATAAACGGTACGTAGGGATCTCGGGTGCGCTTCTGTTGCATCATCCATCCCCCTCACCCTACCAGTAAGCTGCCTGCCACAGATCTCCAAGATCACCACTTTCCCATCCCGCCCCAAAGCCTCAATTCAGCCTGTCTGGGAAGAGTCCTGCCAACAGACCTGCTATGATGTTCCTTGCTCTAGTTATCTGATGCTGTATGACAAACCACCACTGTTATCTCTGGGGCCGACTGGGCTCAGCCAGGCAGCTCTGTTTTATGTGGCATCGACCAGGGTCACTCCTTGGGTGCTTTCGGTTAGTGGCTGGGCTGAGCTGGAGGGTCTAAGAAGGCTTCACTCACTGGTCCCTCAGCACTCCTCTACTTGACACGTCCACGTGGCTAGCTTGGGCTTCCTCACAGTATGGTGGCCTCGGGACAGTCAGACTGCTCACATGGTGACTGAAAGCAAAAACTGCCAGGCCCCTTACAGGCTAGGGTAGGAACTGGCACATATTGCTTCTGCTGCCTTTATTGACCTGGACATCTGAGGAGTATTTTAGACGTAATGGGACCTGAGTTGAAGAATGGGTGTAATGTAATAAACAGAAACAGGCAGGGAGGGTTCTAAATGGGGCCTGACACAGACAAAGACAGATGGGAATGCAAGTGACAAGTTCAGAAAAGAAAGAGTAAGGCAGTTGGAATGACAAACTAACTGTAGGGTGACCTAAGAGATAAGGCAGGAGTCAGATTGTGAAGTTTCAGGCTTCTTTGATAACCCCTTGGGATTATATATAATATTAGCTGGGGTTCCAGGAGTATTGCTCAGTAACTATATGTTAAACATTTTTTTAAAAAGGAGGGGGAGACTTAAAGAGCAAAGGTCTTGCAGGGACTGAATGGAATCAGCAGAACCTTGGGGGTCTCTCCCCAGTCCCTGGCTCTACCCAGGGGGCCCCTTCTGGTAGATGTCAACACCATGAACTTAGATAGTTGTCTAAGTTCCAGTGCTGTTTCATCATTTCTCTGGTCAGAGAGCCAAAGCACTGATTATAAAGCAAGGATGTAATCTTCAAAATCCACTTTGAGATCAATGAGATCCGGAGGGTACCCGAGTCACTCCAGGACCCGGAGGTCCAGGGTCACCTGGGTGGCATGTAGCTGATGGTGTCCTCAGCATATTCCATGAAGCTTCAGAGGCTCCAGAAGCACCTGGGGGTTACCCAGGGGGGGAGCCTAGAAGGAATTCCAGTCTCCTGTCTAATTAGAGCAGCTACACTCTAAATGGCGGTAACAGTTGGTTTAAAGAGTGTCATGGCTAAGAACATCTGAATTTCTTCTATGCTTTCTGTTTTTAATAAATGTGGTGTTTACATGATGGTAGTGGAAGTACCATGGGTTTGAGGATGGCCCCTGAGTTTGAACCCAAGCTCTATTCTATGTGCTAGAGCACAGCTGTCTGGGCCCAATCGCTACACAGCCTGTTCCATCAACTGCTCCTCCAGGTTCTCTGTGATGACCAAATGAAATGTACACAAACTCCTAAGTGTGTCTGTCATATAGGAGGTACTTAATAAAAGCTAAATTCGTTTCCTAAATGAGAGCTATTTATATGTTGGATAATCTTGTACTGGTGGCTGCCTATTCCTCTTCCTTCTCCAATGAGTCCCAACATTTTGCATACTTATCCTCTTCCACACAGCCGTGTGCATCAAAGGAAAATCACCTCATCTCAAGCTTCAGGAAAGAACACCCTGATTATTTTAAACATCCTCTTTGCTAGTGATTGGCTTAGGAATGGGCAAGTGACCCACTTCTGACCACTGAGATGTGAGGTCGGCTAGGGAGGCTTCTGGGAAAGGGTTCCTTGCTCCTAAGACACAGAAGACAGGCGTTCTTCTTTCTGACACTGCATCTGGAGCTGCCCGGAACTGCTGCAAACGGCTGGCTGCAGAGAGGCCAGCCTGGGGCGAAGCCACAGTAAAGACAGCAGAGAGAGGCAGAAGGACCTGGCTTCCTCACCACAGCGCTGAGCATGGATTTCGCCACCTTACAGCCTGCCCTTCCTGGCAGTCCTAGGTGAAATCATAACGTTTTCTGTTCAATGCCTGTTAGAGTTTTTGTTTGGGGTTACTCACAGCCCCAAATGTCCTGATACTAAGTTTAGTCATTGTGGAAACATTAATTTAGACCCTAAAATGAGGAACTGCTGAGCAGCGGAGGTAGGACAGAGGGTAGTAAGGTCCTGACTGCTTTCGGTTAGGAAGCCAGCGTCCCTGTTATGTAGCTGTGAAACAAGTGCTTAAAATGTTATCTGTTTTACCCTGGGTAGAGACTAGGAAATGTAATATTAGTAAAATGATTACTTAAAAAAAAATCCAGAAGCATTGAATTGGACATTTTAAAGGCAGGGGAGGAGGGGACCCAGGATGTTCATGTTGTATTGGCTATTTCTTTCAGCCTTCAAGTAAGGTCCTTTAAAAGATGAGCTATGCCCTGCCCAGTTTTGCTCAGTGGTTAGAGCGTCGGCCTGCGGTCCAGAGAGACCCGGGTTCGGTTCCCGCTAAGGGCACGTACCTCGGTTGCAGTTTGTCCCCGGCCCTGGTTGGGTCGTGTGAGTGGCAGCCACTCAATGTGTCCCTTTCACGTCAATGTTTCTCTCACTCTCTCTCTCTTCCTCTCTCTCCCTCCTGCTCTAACTGATCAAAAAATGTCCTCGGGTGAGGATAAAAAAAAAGAATTAGTAATTGCCTTGTTTCCCTGCCCCACTTGCTTTATTTTCTATATATTTATCGCTAACTCCAGCCTCAACACTGCCCACTGTGTCAGCATCCTAGCAATGTGCTCAGGAACACTTGGCGTGCCTCTCCACACGCCCGAGTCAGACAGCTGTTTCCCAGAGGACGTTCTCATT